AACCAGTCACTTGAGCTGTGTGAGACACTGTTGACACTGTCTTGACTGGCTTTTCTTTTTGTCAGGAATCCAAGCATTGACGGAGCTAACTGGCCCGAGTTCACCCCTGAACTGCAGGAGTATGTCACTTTGAACTCCAACCATCCCGAACAAAAGAGTATGATGAAAGTTAAAGAGTGTCACCTCTTGAGCAAACTAATGCCCAAAATAGACAAAGTCTCAGGTTATCTATACTATCTATCTATCTATCTATCTATCTATCTATCTATCTATCTTATCTATCTATCTATCTATCTATCTATCTATCTATCTATCTATCTATCTATCTGACCTCTCTCTCTCTCCTCTCTCTCTCTCTCTCACTCACACACACACACACACACACACACACACACACCTAACACAGAACTCTATATAGTTATCTGTAGTAGGAGGCATTGAGTCAGGCTCTGACAGAGAGGCGTTGCCTTGTTTAGCCTGTGGAGGAGATTTGTATCTTGGCTTGCTCCCCCTCCACTTCAGCGCTGTTCTGGAGGTCTGAGTGGGTGGAGAGGAGGGTCAGTCATCACTTCACTGAACACTGATCACTCACAGGATGAATAATACTCATACACCTCCCCACCTAGGTCATTATTCACACACACACACACATCTGCACATGTATAATTTTTGGTATCATACAAATATACATATACATATACACTGGTATATATATGCACAAATTAGCATACATTAAACAATCCTCTTTTAAAAGTTCACAAAATAAAATTATCTCTGTCTGTCTTTTTCTCCACAGATGATCTGCTGTCCTGTGTTAAGGCAAATGCGATTATACTCTGCTATAATTACAAGTTCCTCCTCATTTTATTGGCTATAACTTTGAACTATTGCTAGAGAGAAGATGGGTCCTGCCTGGGCAGGACTGTTTCATATAAACTCAACTAAACTACTCAAACTAAAACTAAAATATTGGACAGAAAGAATTAACAAAACTTGGTCTCTACTATTATGTGAACTATTTTATGTTATTACTAGGGGTCCAGCGGATCACAGAACTCATGGTTCAGATTGTGTCAGTCAAAAAAAAGAAAAAAGTGTGTGTGTTTGTGTATTTATGTACACTGTATTATAATAAACTGTAATATAACTGATTATTATACACTGTACAGTATAATAATACAACATTTTGTTGTCTCACTCAATGTCCCGCCCACAACAATATCTGATTGGTCACACATCATGAGTAATACTATCAACACTGAAAGCTGCTGTGTCACAGACAGCTGAGACTTGAGCTGCTCTGGTGAGTGGAGTGGAGAGATATTTCTGAACCTCCAATAAACATTGCAATCATATGATCTAGCTCTATGATGACAACCATAACCAGTTTCCTATACCACTGAACATGCCACAGCCTACAGGGTTTCACTCAATGGAGGCGAAAGTGATGGCTTTTAAATCAGTTACTCTTCCTTAGTGAAACGGTGAAGTGGTTCACATATGTGCTGAACCATGTAGAACAGTCAGTATTGTTTGTATCCTTTTGCAGAGAAATGGTTTTTCTTTTCTTTGTTGCCTTATGAACCTTACAAAAAATAATAATAATAATTGCAGTTAACACATAATGGTAGATATACATGCTGCAAGAATACAGAGCTGGGGAGCATTATGACATAGACATTTTATTTCTGATCACTAGTTAATATTCAGCTACCATTTTTTTAATTTGCTTATGTCTTTCTTTTAAAGCTGTCCAGTGTATAAATGGTGCTTACAGTTAGCTGAGACTGATTTAAATGTGAGTGCACTCATATTGGAAAAATCTGAGATTAGTTCATTAATATAATCCAGTTGACTTCATATGCAGGATTTCGAAGTAAAGTTGAGGGAATCATTATTTTTCCATGTGTAATAAGCTACATCATCACAAAAACAATCAGGGATTCTATGGATTTGTATTGATGTATTGTCTATTGTATTGATCAGTAAGACCATGTAATGCTCATTAAATATGTGGTTTTCTTAAAATCTATTATTTTTATCCATTATGTTGACTGATTAATTGTCTGACAAATGTGTTCTTCAAATACATAACAACAAAATCACTTGTTTCTAATTCCTGTGTCGTTCGCAGACTTATTATTTATAGTTTTTAGGATGGAAGTCTGTATTTCTGTGTTTATTGTGTGTATTAAAATGGGTTGAAAACCAATTGAAAAAGAAATTATACAGAAACACAAAAGAAAATCTGATTTTAGCTGAAATACTATTATTTAACTGAAGGTGCATAATCAGCAGCTTATACAAATTGTATTCTTCTTTTCACTTTGCGTCATCAGTTCCTGAAATATGCAGTGGCCAGTGTCTTCTTGATGAAGTAAGTAGTCCAGTCAGCCCTGCCATAACCACATGATCTTAAGCAGCAGAAAGTATCAAGGAAAGATAATTTATTTATAGTGTCAATGCCAAACAGTTTCATAGCTGCAATTAGTACTTGCTGAATGATATTTATTCTTGTCATCAGAAGTGTTTCACAATTTAGCATACTGTGTTATTGCTCCTCGTTCTGTCACCGTAGACAGTAATGTGATAATAAATAGTGGCACTGAACAATGATCAGAAAAGGACAAAAAGCTAATGAGATGTTGGAGAAGTGCTTTGGTTGAATGACCTTGAACGCTATTTAAAATCCTCTGGTGCAAAAGTAATTACATTGTTTGAGCATCTGGTACGAAGTGTGTGTGCGCGTGTGTGTGGGGGGGGTATTTTTAAGTTTTTTCAAAAAGTTGCAAAGACTTCTAATATGACTCTAATGTGTTGCTGCGTGTAACAATTTGTGTTTCAGACACACTGAACTTGTTGTTAAATGTCAAGCAATTTATTTTTGTCATAATATTTTTGGATCTTTATCCTTCTACAACACGAACACACACACACACCTACCTATACAGTCTCACACACATGAGCTCTCTTTGTATTTGACTTTTTAAATTGGCTGAAGTACAATGCCTCTTGAGCATCGCTTACAGCATGTGGTGTATGTGCCTATGTCTGACACTGTTTAAGGAAAGGATGAAAAGTAAGATACAGACTGAGAGCAGGGAAGTTGCGGGAGGAGTATATTTGGCAAAGGTGGTCTGTTGAGACCTGACCGCTGGCATTAGCAGTGACATCGCCACACACTAGTTTCTGAATGAGGGAGGGCGAGAGAGGCTTAGAGACAGAGGAGGAGAGAGAAGAAGACTCCAAAGAAAAAGAAGAAGCAAAGGAGATCTTTGTAAATGATTATAAAGATGTCTTGGAAGGCACAGTGCAGGGCTTACTTCAGCCCTCACTGAGCATCTTCACTATGTTAAGTCAAGGTGATGCTCTTCTCTTGTCGTGACCACAGGGATCAAGAAAAGCTGAAAAAAAAAAGTAGACAACTGTTTAACCTTTTTCACCGCCACTCAAGTGGGAATGAGGCAGGGTTTTTGCCCTTGGCTGCATCTGTTCTGTATTTTTGTGGCTCATATGTGTCGCAGTAGGCGGACAGGGTTAGGTGGAATAGGTGGAGTGGCAATTATGTAGCCACAGCAGTTTTTGTCTTAGAGACCTCTCTAAAATCACAAACAAATATTGTAGGCCTATTCACATGGTTATATTATTGGGTCAAAAAGAAAAGGTAAAGTTAAAGTTGATCCATTTATGAAAACAAGACTAATTAAAGAGTCTACAGCCATGTTACTGAGACATATGTTGCTTTGAGCTTAATGCTAGTGTCAGCATGCTATGACAAAGACAGTGATTTAATGTAAAGATATAATGTTTACCATGTCCACCATCTTAAGTGTGTTAGCATGATTACATTTGCTAACACAAAGTAAAGCTGATGGAAATGCAATTAGTTTTGCTGGTATTTGGTCATAAACCAAAGGTAGCCTTGTTCACAAAGGGACATTTTTACCAGATGATAGTGCCACATCAAAAGCCAATTCATTGAAATATTTCAGTCTGATCACAATGGTGGACCGGTCGACAACCTGGAACATGGCTGAAAACAAAAACGCAGTTAGGTGTTCTGACTATTTGTTGTTTCCCAGCAGCAGCAACTTCGTCGATAATGACAGAGATGAAAAGATTCAGTGTTGTTATGCTTTAAAAATGGCAGCTGTCTGTACACGTCGTACCGCATGAATCAAGTTGTCCTAATTGTATTGTTATGTGTGGTTTTGACTTCTCTTACTTCTTCTCTGACATTTTTGACATGAGCTCTACATCCCCTGTATCATTACACTTGAGAAACCTATAGTTTCATCACCAAATTATACACTAATGATATTTTTTGAGCGACAAACTGCGGCATCACAGGAGGTTAGTTGTTTTGACTCATGTCAGTGGTACGGTTTAGTTCTCAGACATGACACTCTGACAGATATCAGGGGAGAGCTGTGATTAATGCGCATGATAGTGACAGCTTCATTAATTAAGAGGACAACACCTCCCACTGTGTGTCATGTGAAATTACTATTACCAATCCCCAAGCACAGTCAAGGCAGAGAGCATTGTCAAAAGAGTGACAATGCTGGATGTGAGGGACTAACATTTTTTTCACATGATGGTGAAATGTCGGGAGTTTTCGAGAAAATTGCAGTCCTTATAAAAGGTACCCTACAAAGATATTTGAAGCCTTGCATGAAATTTAAATTCTGAATGGGATGTCAGTGCTCATATTCACAGGGAAATCAAGCTTTTTTTGGTTTCAAAATATTTCTTAAGCTTTGTTTTCATATCATTCTGTACCATATAGCCTATATAAACCTCAAGTAAATAATTAGGAGCTTACATTTCCTTACAGTGAACATATTTAATGACCATGGAATGCAGAGCCACCCTGTAGATTATCTGGGTCCAAGCAGTGTAGTTCACATGTCCTTTTTCTGACAATCTTCCTTTGGGTCCCTTCTTGATGCATATTCAGGCCAGACGAGAGATGTCCTTCTTCCTGTCTGCCCTTGTCTCTCAATCGGTCAGCTATCCGAGTTCTTCATCCAAAGGAGGCATCCACTTGGCAACCTTACTAGGTGCCTTGCCCACTGCAAATGGCTCTTAATCACTGTAATGGCTTGACTCTGTGGTACTGGCACGTCTGCAACTGTGGTGAATAAAAAAATATGCCATCTTTTTGATAATAAATTAGACAGATTTAGTTTCAGGCATTTTTCAATAAATATTTTATACTATTATCATATATGAATATAAACTTAAATATGTCTTGGGTTTGAAATGATAATGGGATAAAACAAGCAACCTTTGGCTCTGGAAAGTTAGAACAGGCATTTTTCACATTTTCAGACAAAATGAAAATGATTTATCAATACTGAAAATATTCATTATTTGTAGCCCTGCATGCTGAGTATGAGCAATTGTTTTTTTAATTGAAAGGCCCAAGCAACACAGAGTGTACAATAAGAGTACGATAAGCCATTATTGTAGCAAAGGACTCAAATGTGTGTGTGCATAATCAGATTTGTAAATGTATAAAAAATCTACAAATCGGTATACAGTGGACAAATCTGTAAATGCAGACATACATATTAATGGCTGAGAAAAAAAGAATACAGACAATTTAACGCTTACAACTCAGAACAGGCAGGACTCTCAATTGGCTGCCTTTTTAGACATGACTTTTGCTAAACTTCTGCTGTGGCAGATCTGCAAATGCATGTGGGGATTTGTGTGTGTGAAGAGAGATTTGTCTGTGTGCCCCAGTAGCTATACAGTCTACATATCACCAGTTGGTTGTAGCGTGCATTGCTGCTATATCTATTGTTTTTTAACCTACTTTAGATAAAACCAGGAAAATAACGATATGGAGCTCTAAATTTGATGCATTTGCTGTTTATCCGACCACAGATGAGTTAAGGATTAGGTTGGAAAAATAATAGATAAAAAATGATCCTTACTGATTACTGTACACAAACACAACTTTAAACTGTATTCACTGCTTTTGGTGAAAGTGGATCATATTTCATGGAGAAAAGATGATCTGGTTTTTCCCTCTGATGTCTTGCTGATCTCGGCTGCTCTCTGCCTCATCTTTTTGTGATTTATTTACTAGCGGGCAGATAACATTAGCTTTATTGTTGTAGTAAGTATGCAGCTAGCTAATTAACTGTATAGTTTGCTAAGCACAGTGTGGGTTTTCTTGCTGGGTTTAGCTCCTGCCCCCCTGTCTGAATCCCCATTGTCTTCGTCATCCCCAGAACCACTGTAAATCACCGTGGTACTGTATTACCTGACGTTAAACTGCCTCCATCGGTCCGGAGGTTGTTTGGTCTTGGTCCATCTCCATTTTTCAAACTACTGTAAGTTTTTTACGCCCTCAAGACTTGCATCAGACACAAGTGGGCATCTGTGCGCTGATTGTGTCCCCTTAGTAACCCCTTAATAGGACCCCCGCCAGCCAAGTCGATTAGTTGCAAACAGGCAGAACACCGAGAGATTTAAAGCTCACAGCCTGTTTGCTGTATTATCTTGCTGATTTTCTAACTTCAAAAAAAGTGGAGAAACAATCGTGGGCTCATGTGTTTCGCTCACAAACCTCCTGTTCCTGTTGTTAGTTTAGTCAATCTTACTTTTTTATCCTTTATCTGAAATAACTTATCAGCAGTTATTTAGTAGTGTTGTTGAATGATTTCAACAACACTACATTCTAAGATAGGGGAACATTCTAAGATAGGGGAAACACAGTTCTTATTTTCAGGTGATTATAAACATACCTATGAATATTACAATTAGATTTCTGCCAATAGATCTACCTAAATGTTACACACTGGACTATTGAGTGTATATACTTTATGATCCTTTCATGTATGTGGAACTATGCTGAAACTGTACCTTTATAACACTGTTGTGTTTTTCAGACTTTTCGAACTCCTCTACAATTACTTTTGTCAGACATTTCCGTGAGCCCCAAGTCATACTGGGAAACTTTTCTTGTAAAAATATTGTTTGCTTCTTCTTTCTGTATGTATTCAGTGTGAGGAGAGATACATGGTGGTGGTGGAGGTTGGGCAGGGTTCTTGCATGCCTTGGCTGAATACATATGCTTGCTGTGAAGATG